CCGGGCGGGATCCCGCCTGGCTTATTCCGCTTTAATATTATAAGTTGAGTTCAGGACGATCTACATCCCACCCATTTAAAATAGGGTAGACCAAAATCCCGGGCCGTTCACGGATCCCACCATGCTGGGATCGGTTCGAAGTAAGATGGGGCTCATACGTTGCAGTATTATTGCCGTGTTGGGGTCGTCTTGAGGTCATCTTGAGATCATATCCCGGTCATGTTTGGATCACGCAACCATCGCGTGGTAGGCCACCCTGGGTGCGTTTGGATCCATCTTGTTGCCGTCGGGCCATCTCGGCGTCACGCGTTGCTCATGTGTTTCGTCATCTGCGAGTCGGCCTGAGACGGTCCAGAATCCATGGCGGGATCGCGTTGGGGTGGCATCATCCTGGGTCCTCTGGACGTTATCGTCCGTGGCCTGAGGCATTCCTGGAAACATGTTGTGGCCATGGGACGTCTTGGGATCGCGTGCGTGCGAACGCTGAGCGCGCGCGTGCGATTTTTCATCTTGCCGACGGGTTTACATACATATAATTTTCCTCTTGCGAGTTTCCAAGGAAATTTTTGTCGGAGCCAAGTGTTCAGCAATGGCGGGAAGAAAGACATTCCCGATAAGTCGCTTGGATCTGAGCATGCAGCTACTACGGAAAAAAAAAAAAAAAAAAAAAAAAAAAAAAAAAAAAAAAAAAAAAAAAAAAAAAAAAAAAAAAAAAAAAAAAAAAAAAAAAAAAAAAAAAAAATCACCATAAAGAGCACGAACACGCTCTGCCGTTTAATCGGGTTACGAAAGCTCCCCGCCTGAAGGGGAGCTGGCAAAACACCTTCTCATCGAAGGGAAAGACGGGGGGGTGGAAGAGGGAATTCGCCAAACCTTTCACGCGCTAAATGGCTGGTGGGATTCGCCCAGAGTCGCACCGCCGTGCCTGGCCTGTGGGTCAGGAGCCCTGGGGGTGTATTTGAGGGTCTCCTGGGATGCCCCTCAGCTGCCTCTTGCAGGGTTTTCGGGGGCATCTGGTTTGCTTTGGGGGGCCTCTCGGGGGTCTCCTGGGTGCATTTTGGGTGCTTCCTGGGGGCCTTTAGGGGCCAGTTGAGGGCTCCCCGGGGGTCGCTGGGGGGCTCCTGGGGCGATCGCGGCGGGAAAGACCAGAGATTTCAGTTCAGATTGCCCTTTTTTGGCTCCTCTTGGGGCCCTTTCTGTCGTAGGGGCCATTTTGGCCGCCTTGGAGCCCTTGTTCGGGTCTTCTTGTTTTGGGGCCCTGTTGGTGTCCTCTTGGGGTCCTCATGGGCCGTCTTGGAGCCCTCTCGGGGGCCTCGTGGGCCGTCTTGGGGCGATTGTGGGGGCCTCGTGGTCCTGGACGCGGCAAAACACAAACATGCTAGAAATAAGTGTTGCTTCAGTGAATGAAATGGTTTTTGCCTCTTGCGGCTCGCTCCGCGGCCCTCTGGGAACACTTGTGGGCTGTCGTGGGGGCCGCGTGGGCCGTTTCGATGCCATCTGGGACCGTCGTGGGGCTACGCTGGGCCATCGCGACGCTTATGTGGAATTATTTTGGCGTTTTGTTTGGGCTTTGTCGGGCCGCCTGGGATGCGTTTGGAAGGTCGAGCCCCCGTCCCCCTGGGCCCCGCCCCACCCATCCCCCATCTACCCCCCCAATCGGATGTCAGACCCCAGGGAAGGGGGAAGGTGGAGGGGGCAGCCAACTATCACACACGCTGTTGCACCCCCGACAGGCGGGGCTCGGCGGATTCTCCAGATACATATCCTTATATCGGCATCATCATTGCGCCAGCCGTTCATAGTTCCAATCTGCGTGTGTAGCTGGTACTCAATGACTTTTCCCACCAAATGCGTATTGCACTCTCGGTATGCAATATTTCCATGCAGCGGTTTCGATGCAGGTAGTTCACGATATGAGTTTAACCAAATATCATGACAGGTTGACGCTCGAGTAACAATATGGCCAACTTCCGAACTGGCCATCGAAGTAACTAGTTGAGTAGCCAGGCATGCCGCCACCGATATGGTAATTTTATGCTACATACGCATACATGTCGGTATTGTCTGATATGCATGTGCCCTCTAGCCGTGCATTGTTTACACGTGCATGTACGCACGCACGTCCATATAAGCGTACATGTTCGCACCATGCGTCTATTACATTCCAGCGAATGCACAGCAACACATCAACATATAAACCTGTTCAGGGGCTCTGCGTATAGACGTGCCATTATCCGTCTCACTGGCGTTGTATCTATATCGCCATGGGACAACCATGGGACCACTGCCTGGTACAACTGCGGGACAACCACGAGGCGTTCGCAGGGATACTATTGCAATGGCCTTTGGGCCCGTTTCGCCGACTCTTGGAAAAGAGCAGATCTTGCGCGAGAGGCGGAAAGGCTGACGGGGCCACGGGCCGAGGGGCAGTCAATCAACATCGCAAGCAAATATTTCATGCCAATTTTTGCTTATTGCCGCCTCTTGCCGATCGACCAATCACTCCCCCTCGCGGTCCCATCTTTGTCTTTTTCACAACCTCGCTGCTCTCGACGCCTTGGGCGCCTCGTGGATGTGATCGGGCAGCGCGCGCCAGGGGGCGCGCCCGGGAGCTCGGGGCCAGTTTTAGCGAGACTTTGGAGATGTCCTGGCGCGGCCTTGGGCGCGGCCGCGACGATGCTCACTGGTCGCCTAGGGGCCAGAAGGGGGCCGGGGCATTCGGCCCCGGTGCCACCCCCATTTTCAGATCACTTCACGCTGGACATGGCGGTACTGCTGGAGAGAGTGTTGCAGTGCTCGCAGGCTGCTGTGGTACTCGCAAGTATGCCGTGATGCTCTGAGGCATGCCGTGGCAGTCGCAGGTTAGCGTGACATTCGCAGGCTAGCGGCGCTCGCAGGCGAGCTGTGGCGCGCGCGGGTATGATGCGGCGTCTGGCGTGGTGCTCCCCAGCATGCTGCTAGCACCCGCAGGCAAATTGTGGCGTACGCGCGTTCTTGTGGTAATGGCATGGGCTGGTGCGCTGTTGTGCATATGCGCGTTGCTTGCGTGCCGCGGTGCCAGTGGCGCGGTCTGTTTTTGATCGCCGCGTGGTCTTTACAGGAAAATGTTGGTTTTCATTGGGATATTGAAGCGCTCGCAGGCTATTGCGATGCCCGCCTGCGTTCGCTTGGTGCTCGGAATCGCAATCACATTGAGCCGTTCCCGTGGCACTGCGGTGCGAGAGAAACAGATTTGTGAGGCCACATCATTTTATACCGTCGCGATCTCTGATGCATTGCGCATTGCCGCGCTCGCGTTGCACTCGTGATTGGGTACAGGAGGTGCGGGGCAGGGGGCTAGGAGTGGTCCATAACAGCACTAAAGTACTACATTGCTGAAGCCTTCTAATCGCCGCCTGGTGGGCCCGCAACGGGGCTTCCACATGCATCAATCGTCAGCGGGGGCCTCCGTCCTCCCAGCATCCCCCTTTTCTCCTCGCCCATCTCGTCCCATCTCTACACCTTCTCGCTCCGCCCCCCATGAGCTCCTTCATTTCGTGTCCTTTCCCATCCTCGCCCCCCTTAGCATGCGATGCGCGTGGCGGTCGTTTCTGGCAACCCCCTCTCGCGCTCTCTCGTCGTTTCGCGCGCGCGTGCGTTGGCGCGCAACGAGGTCGAATTTTCGTTGTGGCCGCGATTGGTTGCATGAGTTTGCTCGCTGCGTGTCGACTCGCGTGGCGTTCCTGGTTTACCTGGCGATCATGTCAGTCGCGTTGTGGTTGAGGTTGGCGCACGTCGAGATCTGTGCTCGGTCCTCTCAGTGTTCCTTCTCCTTTACTTTCTCTTCCTTCCGCCCTCCTTGGGGGGGGGGCGGAGGAGGCGAGGGCGAAAGGATGGCGGCAGGGGCGAGAGGCGAGCGGCCGGGGTGAGGCGGAGGGGCGAGGCGGGGGGGGGCGTGGATGCGGGGGCGTTCAGGGTCCTGGGCGAAGGCCGCGCCTTTATTCCCACGGTTGGCTTCAGAAGCCCTGCCCGCCGTGGCAGTTCTCATTTGATGTCGTTCAGGCCGCGGGGCAGCTCATTGCTCGTCGTCCGCCCTGAGGTCGACTGACTCGGCCTCCAACTTGGCTGTATCCACCGGCTTCGCGCCGTCCAGCTCGTCCTTGCGGCGCGTGGCGGGCCTGGCGCTTTATCTTTGGCTTCAGCGACGCGGCGGTGGCGCGATTTTTGGGCCCCTCTTGGGGCCGTCGTTGGGGTATCTTGGGCTGGTTTGGGATGCCGTTTGGGCAAGTCTTGGGAGCTTCTTGGGCCGACTTAGGCGCTCTGGCGACTTCACCATCGAGTGCCTAAATGGCCATGAATCGGCCAGTATCGAACGAGCCGCGCTGCCTGAAAGCCTGAGTCGTCCAGTGTTGGGCGATCCGTGCAGTGTCGGAAATCGTGGCCACAGTCATGGCGAAATTGACTTGCCAGAGGTGCGCTCGTCTGCGGTGGCGCTGCGGCCAGAGCACTTCCTCGCCAGAGAGAAACCTTGGGTTGCGGCTCCTTCGTGGGCCTGCGGGGCCGTCAGAAAGATTCTTTGGGATGAAGAACGGGTCCTGAGGGAAGCCCCCAGGTCCAGGACTCTCGGGACCCCTTCCCCCTCTCCCTCGTGGTAATTCTCCGCCTCGTCACCCTCCTTGCTTCGACCACCGCACCCGAACTCCAAGAATCTAACGAAGTGGGACGGGGCGCAGGTCCGGATCCGCGGCATCGCGGTCCAGACTCCTTGGCCGCGACCCCATGGACGCAGGGCCGCTCTGCGTGGCTGCCCCGCGCGGAGCGCACCCCGATCCGTGGGATCGCGCCTCGACGACCAGACCGCGAGGGCACGGACGCGGGCACGCCCGCCGCTCGTGATCGCTGCGGGGGCTGCCGCGCACCGTGCGTGGGCCGACCGAGCCCTTCGGAGCGGGGGGGCCCCGGCGCCCCGGCCTCGCCCCGGCACGGCGCCGTGCGGGGCCCGCCGCGCGGGCGCCTCCCAGGCGACGTTCTGGCACTTCGCGGCGGACGGTCAGAGGACGGGCCGCGCTGCCCGCCGCTCGGCTCTCTCCCCGGCCGCCCCGCCCTCGGGGTCACAAGAGGGGTGCTCGGGGGGTCGCGCACCCCCCTCGTCGTTCTCCTGCTCCTTCCTCCCTCCCCCCTTCCTCCTCCAGCCAGTCGGGCGTGCCGCCCAGCGAGAGTGCGGCAGCCGGTCACCGAACCCATGAGTCGCCCAGGCAATTACTTCGTCGTCCTTCTCCTGCCTCGTTCCTCCTCCTCCCTCTTCCCCCCCTGTCTCCATCCCTCTCCCCACCTTCCTCCTCCCTCGTCCTCCCTATTCTGCCTCATCTTCCCATCCATCCCCCTCCTCCTTCGCCTCCTCCTTCCCTCCCACCCCCCACTCTCCCCTCCTGGGTCCGGAGGCTGCCTGACTGCACTGGAGCTGTGTCAGCGCATGCCAGAGTCAGACGAGATTCTCCGTACGCAATCTCGGCCGATGCGGAGGTCGAATTTGCAACGTCAAGAGTGTCCATGCAGTCGTCCAGGTCACCGGCCTGTCTGTGCCGCAGTTGCCTCCCGGTGGGATGTCGCTACCTCTCGGATGCCCCCCCTGTCTTCGGTCGCGGCCGTCTCTCAACCAAATAGTGGTTTAATCTTGCCTCTGCCGTATGTCCACATTTTTCCCCATTCCGTCCGCGCGCGGGGCCTGCAGCCAAGACGCCGAAATGAGGACCGCTTTGGGTTCAGCAGGGGGACTGGCTTTCGGGCCGCTTCTTAGTTCTAGGCCGAGGAACATGCTCGTGCCCGAGGCTCGCCGTGGCCAGAGAAGCCCCTTCGTTTCTTGTTTGGCGTTCCTCGTGCGCTCACGATGGCTGCGTGCTCTGTCGCGCGAAAAGAACCACTGTTCGGCGGCGAGCCTGGGGTGGAAGTGAAAGGGGGCAGGCCTTCTCAGAAGGCGGCGGGGCATCTCAGACGCCCTCGCGCCTTCCGAGAAGCATTGTGAGCCTCTTTTGAAGCCACAGGCTGCTTCTCGACCCTCCTCTCTCCCTCCCTCCTCGAGGATCTTGTCTTGTGCAGGAGCAAGAGATGCAAGGGCGCCCTCGAGGGCGCGAAGTTATTCGCGCTTCGCGGTTCGGCTCCGATTCCTCCTCGTCCTCCTCTTCTCCCCTGGGAGGCGGCGCGAGAGGGCGAAGTTATTCGCACTTCGCGCTTCGCGCAGCGCGAAGCGCGAAGTTGGGAGCCCTTAGAGATGCACATCGAGAACGGCACTGGCCCATTCCATCATTGAGCCAGGGAGCGACCTCGAGTCCCCTGCTTCTCCCCCCGTCTCCCCCAGCGGCAGTTTTGAGCGGAGCATTTCCCTTGTGGTGTGTTTGTGTGTATCTGTTATGCCTTTTTTTCCAGGGTCGACCCTTGTTGGCCTCGCTCATCCAAGTTTGACTCTTTGAGTGCTCGAGAGGCTTCCGCCCCAGCTGCGTCCGACCGAAAGTGCGTGTGCGTTTGCGCGTGCGTGTGTGTGTGTGTGTGTGTGTGTGTGTGTGGCCAGCTCGACCTTCGGCGTCAGAGTCGCAGAGTCGCAGAGAGGGTAGCTTGCTGGGTACATCGCAGCCAGCTGGCACGAAACGCGCCGTTCTTGCGCGGTCTCTGGCGACGCCCTCCGAGGAAGACCCCCGGCACGCTCGGCTACGCCACCGACGTCGAGGCCGCCATCCTGTTACTTTCTGTCGCTATGAGGTGACACTGCAGGTGTTCAGAAGCACATCGTGGGAGCCTTGTATAGGCTCTTAATTGATCAGATAGCGCCGATTTAGTGTCAGTTCGCGTCGACTAGCGTCGATTTGCGTCTACTTAGCGTTGATTTGCGTCGGCCAGTGCCGATTAGCGTCGATTTGCAAGAGCCCACAAGATTGTATCGGAGGCTCCCATGAGTTGCCACCGAAGCAGGTGTGGTAAGGCTTGTGGCTGCGCGTAGACAGCCCAAGGAGGCAGTTCCGCTTGGCCTTAGCGGCCCCCGATGTAGTCCGGCGTAGTCTCAGCGCCACTGCACTGCACGCGGCGGCGCCCTGGATGATTGCGGTCGGCGCCCTCGAATTGAGGTGTTGAGACCACCCTGGACTACCTTCGGGGTCTGCTGACGTAAGCTGGGTCTAAGTACCTCCAAGGGCTGTCTATGCGCGCCCACAAACAAACCTTGCCAAGCAGGTGGCAACATGCGATCGCAAGTGGGACTCAGAACAATGTTCTCTGCCGCGGTGTGCGAATTCGTCTCGGGTGTGCCGACATTGAAACCAGCCGCCTTGCGCATTCGGGGTAGAGTAGTGACTGACGACGCCTGGCAATTTGAATGGCGTGTCGTCTTTGTTCAACCACGCAGTTGACCAGCGTCCCTCTCTCTCGGTCTCTCTCTCTCTCTCTCTCTCCCTATATCTCTCTCGATCCCCCTCTCCTTCTCTATCGTTTGATCACGCGCATCAAAGTTACGATTGTTGCCTCTCAGGCGATCAGTTTCAGCATCGCCCTCCGGGCTTCGATGTCTCGGGTATTATCCATGTATGGTGCCTCTATATGTACCCATGTCTCTGTCTCCGTCCCAGTCTTTATTCATTTATATATACATATATGGTCGCACCCCCCCCAATATCTACCTTGTGGTTGGTTCTGAACTCAACGTTAAAGTTGCCTGTCTCTCCTCGCCTCTTCCTCGCCCCTTCGTCGCCTCTTTTCCCCCTCTCTCTATCTCTTCCTGAAGGCCGTGCTTTCCACCTCTTCCAGCTTTTCCGAAAGACTAGCGGGGGAGTCGCGCAGAACGTTTCCGCAATAGTATCTTGAGGCGTGCGAGGAGAACTAGCTACAAAACGCTGCTATTTTCCAAGATTTCGAACACATCCGCCAGCAAACACTGCTGTTTTTGCTGGTTTGCAAGATTTGTAATATTCCTTTGATGTCCGCAACCATCCCCTGGTGGGCCCGCAAGGCCGCGGACATCTTAGAAATCTTAGAACATATCAGTGTTTGTTGGCGGGTGTGTTAGGAATCTTAGAACATAGCCATGTTTTTTGGTTAGTTATCCTCGCACGCCTCACGGTACTGCTGCGGAAACGTTATGTGCGGTCCCCCCCGCTGATCTTGCAGAAAAGTTGCAAGAGGTGGAAACCACAGTCTTGCTCAACGATCAGTCAGAGACAGAGAGAGAGAGAAAACGAGAGAGAGAGAGAGAGAGAGAGCGAGATAATAAAGAGGAAGACGAAGACGAAGACGGAGTGGCAGAAGGAGCGAAAGGTATGATCTCAGTGGGGGGGGACCATATATGTATGTATATATATAGGCATATATATAAAAAAATAATATATATATATATATATATATATATACATATCCCCGTGCACGAGACCGGGGCGTCCGGGACCGCGACCTCGGGTGCGCATGGGGTTTCCGGGGCTCTTCTTGGGGCGCTCCCGGGACGCCCTTGGAGGCGCCAGACCGCCCCAGAGAGGCCCAGGACGCTCCCAGAAGTCCCCGGGGAGCCTCCAGGAGGCCCCCCCTGCAGGTCCCAAGACGGCCCAAGAGCTGCCCAAGACGGCACAAGAGGCCCCCAAGACGGGGAGGACTCGAATGGACTGTGCGGGCCCTCGGCCCCAAGAACCTGAGCCCCAAGAGGCGCCCCGGAGGCCCCCAAGCAGCTCCAGAGGCTTCCAAGAACCCCCCCAGAGAGCTTCGAGAGGCGTTCCGAGATGGCCTCACGAGGCCAAAATCGTTGCTTTTCAAATGTTTTTACGCTGTTTTTTGCTTTCTCGCTTTTCCAGCTTTCCGACGCTCCAAGACGGCCCTGGAGGCCCCCAAGGGAGCCCCAAGACAGCCCAAGAGGACCCCAAGGGAGCCCCATGACGGCCCAAGAGAGCCCCAAGACAGCCCAGGAGGCCCCCAAGCGAGCCCCAAGGCGTCCCAAGAGCCGCCCAAGACGGCCCAAGAGGCCCCCAAGACGGGGGGGATCCGAATGGACTTTTCGGACCCTCGGCCCCAAGAGGCCCCCAGATGGCCCAAGAGGCCCAGGACGCCCCCAAGCAGCCCCAGACTCCTCCAATAACCCCCCAAGAGGCCCCCGAGCAGCTCCCAAGAGGCCCCAAACAGCTCTCTGACCGGACGCCCTCAAATACTCTTGCCGCTCCCTCGCCCGCCCGTCGCTGCGCATGCACACCCTGCTCTTCACGGAAGCCATTTTGGCTCAAGCTGTTTGGGCTCTCGCCGTTTAGGCTTCGGAGGCGCGGCATTGCCAATGTTAAGAGTGGGCGCAAGTGTGACTAGAACCTCAGCGCGCGCGAAGCGCGCGTGTGGTTCTAGTACCTTATAATAGAGATACATATGTATATACATAGTGCTTGAATGATGGGGTACTCCTGTTGCCTGGGCCCTCTCATACTTGTGGCGTCTTGGGCCCGTTTTCCGTTCCGCAATCCCACGGCTCAAGTTTTTTCAGGGTCCAATGCCTCCGCAGGGACTCGGGAGGGTTCTTCTTGCAGCCCTCACAGGAGCGTGGTTGGCCCCATCGCCTCTCCGTGTCTGGCTCGGCGCGTCGAGCGGGGCTCCCCTGGCGCCGAGCTGCGCTGCCCCTGCTCCGGCGCCGCGCTGGAACGGCAGCTGCCCTGCGGCCTGTCCCGACCTCAGCGAGGTCCTGGCAGAGCTCCGAGAGCAGCGGCGTGAGCGCGAGCGGTCGACTGCTGGGCGCGAGGAGGCGCGGCAGCAGGGCGTGCCTTGGTGCGTTGAGGTGGTGACGGCCGTCCTGGGGAGCCTGGCCTTCTACGCGAACGTGGTGATAGGACTCATCTGGTCCTTGCTCGTCCTTGTTCTCAATGGCCTTCGCGGATGTCGCCAAGTATGGTCTGCACGCTGGAGAGAAGGTGCTTCTCTTGTACGGAGACGAGCCGAATCTCCGGCACGAGGTGAGCACTCCCCGCAAGAGCCCCGAGACGTGCTACGGGAGGGCCCACGGCGAGGACCTTTCGGTGAACGATTGGATCTGGTGGAGTCTGACAGCGGACGGCGACGTGTACCCGCAGGATCTCTTCGAGCCCGGGAGCCTGCAGGCCCTCCGACTGCTTGACGCTGAGGGCAAGGTGACTGGGACTATGTATGGCCGAGGTCCCGCCGTGGAGCCTCGATATGCCTTCGGGGCGGGTCGGCGAGGAGGTCCTCTCGATGTGCCTCTCTTTCTCCGTGCCAGGGCTGTGGTTGACGGGGAAGAGCGCGTGGAGGGTGGCAGTGGATACGCCCCCGTGGCGAAGCCGCCGTCTTCCGCTCCGAATGGGAAGATCTGGCGGATTGCTCCCTCTTCAGATCAGTCCTTCAGTCGTGGATCCGCGTATCCGTCTGTGGTCGAGGGTCATCCCCTCACCCTCGTAAAGAAAGGGAACGCTGATGCCATGATGGTGGTCACTCCTGGAGGAATCTTACAGTGTTGCACGGCCGCCTCCGACTCGATCGACGAGGATGTGGGCGCTCGGACTCTTCCAGTGGTGCGGCGGTGCAACGCCCGCCGCCGCCGCTTTGTGGAGGGCGTCGACCTGATGCTGTGCCGCGGCTACGGCGACTCACCGCTCGAGGGGGAGGCGTCCATTCGCTGGTATTTGGAGGAGATCGCTCGGAGTAGAGAAGGTGGCCCCATCCAGCGTCACTACAACTGGGCTCATCGGTTGAATTCCGGGGGTGATCGTTCGGTGCCTGGGCATTTCTACATCATGAAGGTCCTCGAGCTGGCCGCCGAGGTGGACCAGCTCTACATCCCCACTCTGGTCTCTCTGAAGGCGCTTGGGTGGGGCGCCATGCTGATCGAGCGGGCGCTTCTCAACTCCCCTGAGGGCACCGACTACACCGGGGCCGACGACTTCATGGGTTGGGGCACGGGCCGTGGCAGGGCTCGGGTCGCTCCGACTTTGGTCAAGCATGTGGACGAGAAGGCACGCGACAAGGCATCTGTGTATAAGGAGGTGCTCAAGCACAATGAAGAACTTCGTTTGAGGAAGCCGCCCAAGGGCCCCGAGAAGGAGGGCCAGGGCGGCGATCATCCATGATGGACGGCGACGGCCTCCCCTGCGGCCCGAGGGTGGGGCCGAGATCTAGGGCGCCCCCGGCCAGCCGGCTGGGCTTTCTCGCTGGTGTCGTCGCTGAAGAGCGCGACGTCCCGCGTGAACTCCTTCCTCTACCTTATGTTCCTCAGGAGCCAGTCGCTGGTTCCCACCTTTCCCGAGGAGTTCGACAGCGGGCCCAGGGGCGACGTCGGCTTACGGACGAGGTGAATGAGAGCATCTGGGCCCTCAACTGGCTCGTGGGTTCCTCCGCCGCCGACGCAACATTTTCTTCTCTGGGACAGCGGGCCACCGTTGACCACCTGTACGACACCATCAATTCTTTTCGGCCGCCCTCTCAGACGGCCTCGGACGAGGAAGCCACGCGTGCGCTTCTCGGCAACAGAGTCCCCTATGGCGGGGGCGATGACTTGACAGGGGTACCCTACGACCGTGCTTTGGTGTCTATCCCTGGTGACGGACGCGTTCCCGCGCCCCTTGCCGAGGTGCTGCCGCCAGACGCCGCAAAGATGATCGTAGATTTTGATACCCACCTGCTCAAGGACGCCAACCAGTGGGGCGCGGAGGTGGAGCGTGGTCTCGAGCACATCGGTTCCTACATGGACCCCCGGCTCCGCTTCAACCGCCGCAGCTATCTCAACTTCATCGGTGACCTGTTCAGAGGTGGGCTCCTCGCCTGGCGACGGGCCGACCAAGTTCGGGATCTCGGTATTTTTGTACGAAAGAAGTCGGGCAAGCAGCGCCTCGTCGTCGACTGCAGGCGCGTCAACGCCAGCTTCCGAGAGTGCCCCCACGTGCCGATGGGTTCGGGATCTTCTTGGGCCGACGTCGTGATGGACACGGACTCTGACATGTATCTCTCGCTTAGTGACGTGAAGGACTACTTCTACGCCTGTGGTCTGCCGTCAGGCCTCGAGAGCTTCTTTTGCCTCCCTGATATCACTGGGGAAGAGCTGAAGGTGGTCACCCAAGGCGATCCCTCATTTGGGTACTTGTGGGGCTCCGCGGCGGTCGCCCCCGCTATGAGGGTGATGCCGATGGGATGGACTTGGAGCTTCTTCTTCGCGCAGGACTTGCACGTTCACCAGGTCCACCAGATCAGGCCCTGGGTGTCCGGCGCGCTCATGCAGGACCGCGCCCCTCCGCCTCCTTTCAGGACGGGGCCCGAGCTGGCCCTGCCCTATTGCGACAACTTTGCGGCGGCGGCCTCTTCTCCAGCCCAGGCCGACGCTCTCCGAGAAGATAGCCAACGCCGGATGACCTCGCTCGGCTTCGAGGTCCACGAGGAGGAGGCTGCCCGCCACTGGGCCGAGTCCTTGGGGTTCGCCATCGACGGACTCACTGGGTAGCATCGCCCTAGCCCTGCCAAGGCGCGGCGCATCCGCCAGGTCTGTCGTCGCGTGAGCCGCCAGCGACCCTGGCTCAGCGGTCGTCAGCTGGAGCGGCTCTTGGGACATGCTACTTTCCAGTTTCTGGGGCATCGGCCGCTGCTCTTTATCTTCCGCAGCTGTTACACCTTCGCGCAGTGTCACTACCTCCAGCCGCGGCGGCTCTGGCGGACCGCCGCCGAGGAGCCCCGTGCTGCCGCCGCTCTGCTGCCCTTTGCGCGGGCCAACATGCGGCGGCCCTGGACTTCGGAGGTGGAGGTTTTCGACGCTAGTCTTGCCGGTTGCGGAATCATGACAGCGACCCTGCCGAAGGATGTGGTCTCTGAGATCGGGAAGGTCGATGAGAGGTGGCGCTACGCTTTCCAGTACGAACAACCTGGCGGGCCTCGTGAGCACGCCCTCCGTTCAGCTCCCCCCGTCGAGGAGTGTTTCAGCAACGCGGAGACCGTTCTCCCTCGCGATTGGTCTCGGCGGCGGTGGCAGCCCGTGCAGGACTTCCCGGAGGTCCCAGCTTCCATTTTCCAGGACTTCGACTGGCGCGAGTGCGTGGCTGGCCGCTGGAGAGACGAGGAGCATATCACCATGCTTGAGGGACGCACAGGGCTGATATCTGTGCGGCGCACTTGCCGTTCGCTGCTCAACCGAGGCAAGCGACATCTCAAGATAGGTGACAATCTGGGTATGATCCTTGTTTTTGCCAAGGGGCGGGCAGAACTTCGGCCTGCTGATGCTCTGCAAGAAAAATGCCGCGTTCACCGTTGCTATGGACATGACCATTCGATGGCGGTGGATTCCTTCAGAGATCAATGTCGCTGATGCCGCCTCCCGTCGGTATCTTACAGAGGATCACCGCAGCCGCGAACGAGGTCTGGCCTGTCTCAAGCTTCGTGGAGGCTCGGGCCCGGGGCCGCCCGCGGCTGCTCGCGCGGGTGAGTGGGCGACTGCTGCCGCCTACACAGGCCAAACGGTCCCATGGCGAGGCATCAGCTGGTCTCCCACGGGGGCCCGCCGGCAGCCGCCCAGCCAAGGGGCCGCGGGCCTCGGGCGTGCTGCAGGCGCCGCCTCACCAGGCGTGCTCCGCCCCCCGCGAAGTCAGCCAGGGGCTGCCGCCCCCGACGCACCGCCGCCTGCCCTGGGCCGCCTCAGCTCGGACGCTGCCAGCCAACGCTGGCTGGAGCCGCAGGCTGCAGACCCTGGCGCGGCAGGCGCGGGCGAGGACCCGCCCGGCGGCAGTCACGGCGGGAGACCGCGAGATGCAGGAGGAGCTCGAGCTGAAAGGGATCATGGTGAGCCTCCTCGAGATGAAGTCCGTCGGAAGGCAATCGGTCCCCTACTATCTACTATCCCCAGAAGTTCAAGGAGTTCTTGGACTTTGTGGTCGCCCACGGTTTCGACCTCCACAAGGACGAGGACGTAGACGAGGTGTGGGTGCAGCTGATGGACCTGATGTACTTCGATGGGTGGCAGGCCGACCAGGGCGGGAAGCTGCTCGCGGCGGTGAAGCTCGGGATCCCGCGCTTCTCCAGAGCGGGGCTGGGCGGCCTGCCGCTCGCGGCCCGCGCCCTCGGCGGCTTTCTGAAGGCCGCTCCCGTGGCCTGCCGCCTCGGCCTTCGGCAGGCGTGGGTCGTCGCGAACATCGCGGCGATGCTCTGGCGCGGGAGGCTGGAGAGCGCCCGCCGGGCGTCGGTGATGCACGACGCGTACCTGCGCACTGGCGAGGCGACGCGGCTCCGGGCCGAGGACTTCGTCCCGCCGATCGGAGACCATCGCGGCCACGAGCGCGGCGTGCTCACCCTCGGCTCCTCGAGCGTCGGGATCCCCACCAGGACAGGCGTGCTGGACGACGCGGTCACCCTGTCAGACGGGGACTTTCGGATCAGCAAGATACTGGGGCTCCTGAAGGACCAGCGGGCCCCGCACGAGGCCCTGTTCGTCACGAAGCCCGCTGCCGTCAGGAAGGACTTCGATCAGGCGCGCCTCGACCTCGGGCCCGACAGGCGGAACCTCACGAGCTGCCAGCTCCGGCACAGCGGGCCGAGCCGAGACGCCCTTCTCGGGCGCCGCACGCTCCCCGACATCATGAAGCGCGGCAGATCGGTGAAGAGGTACGAGAGGCACAGAGTACTGCAGAAAGCACTGGCCGGCAGCCCGAAGGAGCTACTCGACCTCGCCGCGGCTGCCGAGTCCTCCATCGCAAGAGCGCTCCTTGGACAGCCGCCCCGAGTGGCCCAGCCGCCCCGCGCCTGAAGCGCCGAGTTGCAGCCGAGATTTTCTCCGGCTCGGGCCAGCTCGCCCGCGCTCTCGCTCGTAGTGGAGTGCCCACGGAGGCCTACGACGTCTCCGACGGCCCTGGCGCTGACTTGCTGCGGCCGAGCGTCGTGAGGCTTCTTCGGGACAGAATTCGTGCTGGCTCTTTTTGTTTCGTGTGGTTCGGTGTGCCTTGTAATACTTTCTCACGTGCCACCGACCGTCCCAATGGCCCTCGCCCTCTCCGCTCGAACACTTATCTGTATGGTCTGCCCGACCTCGATGCAAAGCAGCGTGCACGTGTATCAAACGCCAACATGTTAGTGCGTGTTGCATGTAGTCTTGCTCGTGAACGCAACAAATGTCACGTTCCATGGGTTTTAGAGAATCCTCGGACCTCCCGCCTGTGGCTTTTAGATGAGATACGGATTCTTGAGAGGAAAGCGTCCTCCGTAGTGTTAGACTACTGCATGTATGGGATGCCCTGGAGAAAGTGCACTCGGTTTGTTGGCACTCTCCCGGGCTTGGCATCGTGGGAACGCCGATGTACGGGAAGAGTGTGTCGGCGCACTGGCCACCGCCACCAGGCCCTCGAAGGCAAAGACCCCTCAGGCGCTTTCTGGACCAGGCGGGCTGAGCCATATCCCACATCTCTCTGTAATGCTATCTCCTCCTCTGTCGTCGCCTCCCTCCCTCCTCTCCCTCATTAGAACAGCTTCTGGTGCTGGGGACGGGTGGTGGACCCTCGCCGGTTCTGTACGTCTCATCGTGTCAGTTTCGCTCGGGCCCAGTCTTTAGGCAGGCGATGCCTGTAGGTGGCATCTCAATATGATTCCAGTTTCTCTGGTCTTGGCATAAAGGAGTGCTTGAATGATGGGGTACTCCTGTTGCCTGGGCCGTCTCATACTTGTGGCGTCTTGGGCCCGTTTTCCGTTCCGCAATCCCACGGCTCAAGTTTTTTCAGGGTCCTCCTGCCTCCTCTCCTCCCCCGCTTCTTTATGGGTGGTGGACCCTCGCCGTTTCTGTACGTCTCATCGTGTCAGTTTCGCTCGGGCCCAGTCTTTAGGCAGGCGATGCCTCTAGGTGGCATCTCAATATGATTCCAGTTTCTCTGGTCTTGGCATAAAGGATATATATATATATATACATATACATGTGTATACGTGCATGTAGAATAATAAGGGGGGCGGGCCCCGGGGAAACCATGATTTCAGTACCCGGCCTCTGGCCCCCTGCCAGGGCTGCTCTTGACCCTCCCGCGAAGTCGCCGAAATATCCTTCACGACGCCCAAGGTGCCTTCAAGACGGCCCAGGAGGCCCCCAAGACGCCCCAAGAGGCACCCAAGAGGACCCCCAATAGGGTTTTGAGAGGCAACGATGGCACCGTTTTCGTCGGAAAACGTATATCTGGGGAACATTCGTTTCTGCACTGTTCAGAGCATCCAAGCCGGCCCGCGAGGCCTCCAAGATCGCCCCAAGACGGTCCAAGAGGCCCCCTACAGGGCTCCAAGACAGCCCAAAAGAGCCCTAAGAAGGCTCAGGAGGCCTCCAAAACAGCCCACGAAGGCGCCAGGACGGCCCCAAAAGGGACCCATAGGGGGCGGCCGAACTGATATCTCAAGCACTCGGCCCCAGGACGCCCCCAGGCGGCCCCAGGACCCCAAACCACACCCAAGAGGCTCCAAGAAAAGAGCCCCCATTAGGCCCCCAGGAAGCCCCATGAGGCCCCCCAAAGGCCCCCAAGAGACTCCTCCCCAGACGCCCTGAGGCACTCATGGCGATCTTGAAGCTTCCAGAGAGGAGAGGCGATGAACGGCCGTACTGACGCGATCTTGGGCCGTCTTCGAGCTCAAGGTGCCCACATCATGGCCCAACAGGGTCTCAGAAACGCCTGAAGAGAGCCTCCCTGGAGTTCCCAAGAGACCCTCCAGAAACAAAGTATCAGGGGACTAACCCAGCCAAGATGGCCTCCTGAGCGCCCCAGAGGCATCCAAGGCTCCCCCAAGAGGCCCCAGGACGCCCCCAGGCGGCCCCAGGACCCCACAACACACCCAAGAGGCTCCAAGAAAAGAGCCCCCATTAGGCCCCCAGGAAGCCCCATGAGGCCCCCCAAAGGCCCCCAAGAGACTCCTCCCCAGACGCCCTGAGGCACTCATGGCGATCTTGAAGCTTCCAGAGAGGAGAGGCGATGAACGGCCGTACTGACGCGATCTTGGGCCGTCTTCGAGCTCAAGGTGCCCACATCATGGCCCAACAGGGTCTCAGAAACGCCTGGAGAGAGCCTCCCTGGAGTTCCCAAGAGACCCTCCAGAAACAAAGTATCAGGGGACTAACCCAGCCAAGATGGCCTCCAGAGCGCCCCAGAGGCATCCAAGGCTCCCCCAAGAGGCCCCAAGAGGCGCCCAAAAGCTTTAACGAGGCCGTAAGAGGCCCCACGAGTCCTCCAGACTCCCCTCAAACGATTATATTGATATGCACATACATACCGACGAGCATACAGACTTAGATATCCGGGCAAACGTAAACAGTATGTATGAATACACAGTTGTACATATATATATATATATATATACACGCGGAATGTCCCGGCCCAGGGGCATCGAGCAATGCGGAGCCAGATTCGGGCACCCTAGTTCTCCTTTGATCTCTTTCAGCCCCAGACGACGCGTCGTAGAAGCCCCTAAAGACACCCTTACACAATTTATGAGTTACCGTATCAAATGGCGGCAGAACCCACGAGCGACATTACGGGAACTCCCGAGTCAATCTGGCAGTACCCAACGGCACTTTGCGATGATATTTCCGCGCGGCTAGAACCTGAGCGCGCTTGAAAACGCGCGTGGTTCTAGTATATGTGTGTATATATATGCACATGTGCGCGCTCTCCTTCTCATGTTGTATCTCTCTCTCTCTCTCTCTCTTCCCTCCCTATACATACGGATATATATATATATGACTATATATTGTATCTCTCTCTCTCTCTCGTTCTCTCAATCTCTTTCTCTCTCTCTTTCTCTGTCTCGTCCCCCCTCTGTATGTTAGTGTTCTATTTCAAGCTCCCCATCAATCTCTCTGTCTCCTCATTCTTTCCGCTCGTTTTACATTGGTTGACCTGCGCGCTCGCAAGCCACACGGCTCTTCCTTGATCTTCTTCTTTTTTGTCCGTAAGTGAGTTCAGTTGTCTTGGTTCAGGGCATGTGGTCCGTCGTTGAAAATTTTTGTTGTTTTTAAGTTGCACGGCGAGATCCGTCTGGCTGCGCTGCTGCGCTGACCCGCCAACGCGCTGAGGGGTCTTGGAGTGGGGGGGATTTATGCCTGTAGTTGGGGGATGCTTTCCGACGTGTGTGCTTCTCATTTTTTGCGACAGAGAATGACACAAGGTTTCTATAGAACATCCGAACGCCTTCGGCAGGTCCCACCGTGCCAGCCCAGTACTCGGAGGCGATTGTTCAGTCGAGAGGTGCTGAAGGTACAGTGTGCGCTCACGGGTGCAATGTGGACGGGTGCGATGTGGGACATCATGATCGGAATGGTGCTGATGGTGATGAGGAGGAGGTGAAGAATGTGGAAGAGGAGACACAGGAACATCGTCACATGTGGCATATCCGTCCGTCTTCACTTTTGTTGAGCTCTCTTGGAACGGATCAAGTCATTACTGGGGTTCTTTCTCCAAGCTGGGGGGGTCGGGCTGTGTTTCCTCTCTTCTCTGCACTCTCATTCGGCCCCTCGTCCCCCAAGCTGGTGGCGCACCGCGTACCGGGGGGCAAGATGTTAGCGCGCCGCGCACCGGGGGGGCAGGGTGCGCAAAGCCGGGCGACACGACTCTTCGTGTGCATACCGCTGCTGCGCCCGCGCGGAGACGCCGCTGTCGACGCCAGCGTTCTGCGGTCGACGCCAGCGCCGCGCGCCCGCGGCCACGCCCAGAGGTGGAGCGAGGGCAGCACGCCCCCTGGATCCCTGCCATCCCCGGCCTGCCCTCGGCGGCGAGCGAAGGGGGGAAGGGAGAAGGAGGAGGCCTTCTCAGAAGGCGGCGAAACTTCTCAGAAGCCCTCGCGCCTTCCGAAAAGTTCTCGGTGTCGTCGGGGAGGGCTTGGAAGATTCCTCAGAAGGCCCGGGGACTTCCGAGCCGTCTTCTGACTTCCCCTCATTCTCAGCAGCGTGTGCGTCCCGATCTGTTACTCCTCCGTGTCAGCCAAGCTGCCTGCCTGCGCCGGCGCCCCAGGGGGCCTCGAGGCGGAACCTCTCGGGAGCGAGGCCTCGACCGCCGGACGGCACGCGTGGGGTCTCTCTTTCGCCGCCCGGCGGGCCACTCGGTGGCAGGAGGGGGAGGGGGGCGCGGGGAGGCGAGGGCGAGGAGGTGGCAGAAGAGGAAGGGAACGAGAAGGGTGACGCCTCGAGCGCTCGCTCATGCGGCTTGCCAAGGACAGAAGGGGGGGAGAGGACGAGCGGGAGAGGAAGGGTGGAGGAGAGTGGAGCGGGAGGGGGAAGAGGCAGAAAAGTTAGAGGATGAGGGGGAGGATTGACACGGCATAGGATTCCGCACGCACAGCGAGGACAATGGTTGTTGGCTGCCGTATCAGCCTGGGAAGACATCTGCGCTCGTGGCACCAGCTTCGCACTATGCATGTTTTGCTCACCTTCTGTAGTTCTGACAACTGTTTGGATGATTTCTGCATTGGTGGTCCCCTTTGTCAATGCCAGCTTGTGATGAACAAATGACCAGACACCCCTACCCCGGGGCTGATGAATAGACCCCGCGGGGCGCGAAACATTTTTTTGTAGCATGCGCGCCAAGGGTCGTCGCTGGCACCGCCGAGGGGATCGTGTACCCCCTGCATAACAGCCTAAAAACGATTGCCTGTCCTATAGAAGTTGTGATAGGGGTCGCACACATCCGAGGCGAATGTTTCCGCCTCTCAGGCGTTGTCGTCGTCGCCGCAGCCGCTGTCGTCGTCGTCGTTGTCATCGTCGAGGGTAACCGTTTGGAGTAGATTTTGGCTGTTTTTGGTGCCTGTTCCGAGCAAGTTTCTCCCACAGGACGCGGTGTTGCAAACAGTCGCGTCAAACAGAGGTCCAGAGCCAGACCCCCCCGCCCCATTCCGCCAAATGCCGAACCCCGAATTTAAAAACGTTTACAACATTCTGCCCGTCCTGCAGGAAGGACCCGGCCGAGAATTCAGGTGCCTCATATTCGGGCCAGGTCCAAATTTGATGCAGATGTTGGTCTTGAACCCGCTTCGTTTGTTCAGTTGTACACCACATTTTATGTCTCCACGGGCGCAGGCCGGAAATCGCAATCTTTGATTTTTGCATTTGTGTTTGCGTGCGTTTATATTTGTTCGTGTGTGTCTGTGTGGGTGAATGCGTGTGCGCGTGCGCGTGCGCGTGCGCGTGCACGTGCGCGTGCGTGTGCGTGTGCGTGTGCGTGTGTGTGTGTGTTTGTGTGTGTGTGTGTGTTTGTGTGTGTGTGTCTGTTTGTGTGTGTGTGTGTCTGTGTTTGTGCCTGTGTGAGTGTCTGTGTCTGTGTGTTTGTGTGTGTGTGTGTGGGTTTGTGCTTGTGTGTGTGTGGGTTTGTGCTTGTGTGCGCTCGGACATCTAGCGCGTTTCGGCCCATCCCGCTTCCGTCGTTTGGTCGTGGACGAGAGGCCTATTCGACGGTTCGACGTGTCTGGGGGCCTCCTAGGGTGGCTCTGGGGGGGTTCTCGGAAGCATTTTTTTGCGGGCCTCTCGGGAGCGTCTTGCGATCTGCTTAGGGGTGCCTCTTGGTGGTGTCTTGCGGTCCTCTTAGGAGTGTTTGGGGGCCCCCGGGATGCATGCTGGCGGCCTCAGCGACAATTCGGCCATTCGGGGGGAATCTATCAGTTCGAGTTCACCCTGTTGAGGGCCTCGCGGAGTCTTGGGGGTCTCTAGAGGCTCTTTTAACCGTCAATTGGGCGGCGCAAGAGGCCGCCAAAGAGGCCTCAGGGCGGGGCGTCAGACCATCTCGAACCATGTTTGAAGTGAGGATTCTAAACCACGCTCCCGAGGCCTGGAACAGTCACGCTGGGATTCCCAAGAGTTTTGTGCGCCTGCCGCCTGCGGGCAAGAGATGCGTCTTCCCGCTTCAAAAGGGAACGGGCTGGTGGAAACGTCGCCATCGCACGACAAAATTGACCGCAACCGCGGGGGGCAACTCACCACGGGGGACAACTCACCGTAAACGCAAGACCAACTCACCAAAGTGGTAACATCTTGCCATCCCATCTGGTTGTCTACAGTTGCCTCCTCCTCATGCCCACAGCCTGGAGCACGGGGGCTTGAGCCGCTTAAACGAGAGTATAGGAAACATTCGGAACAGAGAACTCGAAGGGACCTCGAGACACTCCACTTAGTTCCCATTGTACGTTGTCGGATGAATTATTGTTTTGACATGTGGTATGCTTACTTGCTGATGGGGTCCGATCGCTATCTGATGGTCGCATTTGGTTGGCGGGCGGGCCGTCCGTCATGAATAGGGTGGAGGACGATGAACGGGGTTACGATACCGCCTCTCTGCGTTCGTTCTCGGTGTCATCGGTGAGGTTCGCTGGTCGCACCGCGATGGAACAGTAGCAGCTTAGTCTTAACGTATCTCAGCCTTCTGGCGAATTTCAGCTTGTACTTAGTGACGTATTGTTGGTATCACGTTTCTTTTGTCGTATTGTTTGCCGGATTCCAGTCTCCAGAGTGCGGTTCGGGGTGGCCAATATTCCAGGCACGGGGATTGGTGTGTGGTGTAAGGTGCATCTCAGTGCCGTTATTGCAGTCTCTTCTTTCTGGCAGCTCCGGGCGAGGTCAAGATCTCAGCCTCTAGTTGGTGTTGGAATGTCCATGCAGGCGGGCGGGGGCGGCCGAGGGGATGTGCGCATGGGCTGAAGGCCTAGTCGGAGTGCACGCACACTGTGTATTGCGCCCTTTCAGTGCTGTATTCGTTAGCGTCGACGGCACCCATACGGATTGGTGCTCTTCGCGGTTCTCCCTCTTCCGCTTCCATTCCCTTCCCGCACCCCCATACTGCCGACGACTAGATTCGTCCGATCCGCCGGCTCTCGGAGTTCTCGCCTCCCTCCCAGGGACCACCTCTTCGTCTTGGTTTGTGTCTTGACGGCCCCGGGGGCCTGGACGCAGTTCTCTCGAGTCGCAACAGGTCTGGCCCCTCACTCCTCCTCCCTCCCCCCACCTCGACAGCCTCCGGCTCGGCTTGAAGGTTTGGGGGAACCATCGCACGGGACAGTTGCCAGATGTGCCCCCCCCCGCAGGGAGGCAGTCGCAATAGTGCTGCCACGGGGGGGCCGTGCCAATGCCGCATTTAATGCCCACGCGGGCAGGGCTCAGGAACCCGCGTGGCACAGGCGTGCCAGAGCCCAGAGGGCGCAGGCGAGCGTGCTGCTGCGAGTCGTTCGCGCAGGTATGGTGCGACGACGACATTACAGCAGATAGCAAGGAGAGATGGCATATCTGCAGGAGGGTCTGGGTCGCCACTGCCGACTTTGGCGGCTTGGGGCCCGAAGGGCTGACCGTCCTCGAGATCGCCGCGCACGCGACGGCTCGGGACATCCACAGCGGACGGGTGTCTCGGCGCGGCCGGCGTGGCAACTTGGAAACCGACCGTTGCGCCAAGAGGCATGTGGCGGGGCTGCGCGCTCAGCCAGGTTTGCGGGCGCGGTGGAAGCGGCTTTGCTTCACCCTCGACGGCGTGGTCTTTTGGGTCGCTGGAACCTTTCTTTTTTGTTATCCGCGGGCGATGACGGCCGTCACCTGGGGGAAGGGGGGGGGCGAGAAGACCCGGAATACTTAGGAATGACCGAGGACGGGTAGCAGCAGTATGTAGGTTTCGATTTGCACCACAGCGCCTGTGTACACCACTGTGCTTGCGTGCGCCAGAGCGCTTGTGTACACCGCACCGCCGGCGTTTCCCACACCGCCAGTGTGCGTTGGGATTTCAGCACCGCGAGGCAACATAACTGTTGCACACGCATAATCCTGAGTCCTTCCCCATAAAACTTGTATTAGGTACCCTGATCATGAGAATCCGTGAAACTCTTGTAAACGTTCAAGACGAATATGCGCGGCGCTGAGGCGAGAGCCACATTTTGAAAACAACCGCCCCCACTCCGTGCAACTCTTGCAATGTTTCAATACGAATGTGCGCGGCGCTAAGGCTACAGCCACAGTTTGTTAACGACCTGCCTTCCATCCGTAAAACGTTTTTTTTTCTAAAACAATAATGAAGCGAATGTGCGCGGCGCTACAGCGAGAGCCACATTTTAAGAACGATCCGCCCTCAATCCAGGAAGCTCTTGCACATTTGAATAACGAATGTGCGCGGTGCGAAGGCGAGAGCCACATTAAAAAAACGACCAGCCCTCAAACCGTTAAAATTTTGGAAGTTTTTAAACCGAGTGAGCGCGGCGTTACAGCGAGAGCCACATGTTGAAAACCACCCGCCTTCAATCCCTGAAGATCTTGCATTGTTTTGCATTTTTTTGAACGGATGCGCGCGACGTTAAAATGAAAGCCACATTTTGGAAGCCACCAGCTTTCCATCTGCGAAACGGTTGCCGTGTAAGTTTCATAGTCATAAATTTGAGGAAGTCTCAGACCAAACGCCCGGTCCGCCCTAAAGCATGGTTACTTTATAAGGACAAGAAATGGAAGGAGGAGAAGGAAGGAGGCGAAACGTGGAGGAGGGAGGAGGGGGGGAGCAGGAGGGAGGAAGAGCAGGAGAGCTGGATGAGGAAGAGGAAGAGGAAGAAGACGAAGAAACATAAGATAAGAGCAACTAACAAAAATAATGATAACAATAATCATAAGAAGAATACAGAGAATAATAATACAAATAGTTAGAATAATAATTATAACAAGAAGAAAAAGATTAATAATAAGAAGAAGAAGCGGAGGAGGAGGAGGAGGAGGAGGGAGGGAGGAGGGGAGGGAGGGAGGGAGGAGTGTGGGAGGCGGCGGAGGAGGGCGGAGGAGGGCGGAGAGGGCCGAGGAGGGCGGAGGAGGGCGGAGGAGGAGGAGGAGGAGGAGGAGGAGGAGGAGGAGGAGGCGGAGTGGGAGGAGGAGTGGGAGGAGGAAAAGGAGGAGGAGGAAGAGGAGGAAGAGGAGGAGAAGGAGGAAGAGGAGGAGGAGGAGGAAAGGGAGGAGGAGGAGGAAGGGAGGAGGAGGAGGAGGAGGAGGAAGGAGGAAGAGGAGGTAATGGAGGAGGAGGAGGACGAGGGGAGGAGGAAGAGGAGGAAGAGGAGGAGGAGGGGGAGGAGGGAGAGGAGGAGGAGGAGGAGGAGGAGAGGAGGAGGAGGACCAGTGTAAACCCGAGAGTCACAAACAATGTTGGAATAATCCCTCACCCCCCAAATTCCTTCTTCATATGCCCCTGCAGCGGCGGTTCATTTCCACAGGGGGGCTTGCCCCGTCGGAAGACAACCGCTTGAAGACCCTGAAGCGTGCCAAAACATCATTCTCTGTATTCAACGCCACGGGTAAACTTGTCTGTTGCATTTAACCGCTCCCGAATCGTGTCAGAATGTCATTCCTGGGATTTCAACACCGGCAATCATCATCAGGGTTGTGCCCTCGTAGTCGCGCATCTGCCCGAAAAAAAACATTTCTGGTACGTCGAGCATGGGAAGCCGTGAAACCTTTGTTTAGCAATAGTGTTCGCGGCGCTAAGGCGAGAGGCGAAAGAACATTTTGAAAAGGAACTGCCCTCAATCCGTGAAGCTCTTGCGAATATCCAAAACGAATGTACGCGGCGTTCAGGCGAGAGCTACATTTTGAAAACCTCCCGCCCTCAATTCGTGAAGCCCTTGCAAATTTTGAAAACGAATGCGCGCGGCGCTAAGGCGAGAGCCACAGTTTAAAAATGACCCGCCCTCAATCCGTGAAGTTCTTGCAAGTTTCCAAAACGAATGCGCGCGGGGCTAATGCGAGAACCGCATTTTGAAAACGGCCCGCCCTCCATCTGTGGAGCTGTTGTCATGTTTAAGCTCTGGGGTCACAACTGATAAGTAAATCTCAGGCAAGACGCCCGACCCGCCCTCACACTGGCCCCGGGGTGCGACAGGGAGAAGTTATTGTTATGGGAAACGAGTGGAGGAGGAGGAGGAGGAGGAGGCAGAGGAGGAGGAGGAGGAGGACTCGGGCAGGAGGGAGAATAAGCAGGAGGAGGACGAGGAGGAGGTGGAGGAGGAGGTGGTGGAGGAGGAGGAGGAGGCGGAGGAGGAGGAGGAGGAGGGGCAAAGGGAGGAGGAGGGGGAGGAGGAGGAGGACGACGAGGAGGAAAAGGAGGACAACCAATAATTCTCAGACAAGGGGAATCAGAGAACATCTAACAAGAAGAAGACGAATCTGAATTATATGAAGAAACATATGAAGACGGATAATCAGAATCGTGATCATATTTTAATAGAACTGGTATTACCAATAATAACGTTAAGAAAAAGACGAGGAGGAGGAATAGGAGGAGGAGGGAGGAGGAGGGAGGAGGATGGACGATGGAGGATTGTATATGTATGGAACAGGATGGAAAAAATTAAAGAACATCGCATGCCTTCATTGGCACTTTCATCGCGCGGTGTTTAACTGTCCGCACCACATCCTCAACGACATACTCGTCCTACCCGCCCTATGCACGCAGGCGCTGGTGTACACCAGCGTTGCGTTGCACGCGGATGCTGCGGTGCACACAGGGCGCGCACAGGCGCAGCGGTGCACGCAAGCATTGTGGTGTGCACGTGTGCTGTGTTGCATATGGTTGTTGCGGAGTACACAGACACCACGGTGTACGCAACCGCTGTGGTGTACGCAAACATTGTGGTGTACACAGGCGCTGCGTTGCACACGGATTGTGCGGTGTCTCCGTAGCTATTTTGGCTCAAGATGCCGCGAGAGAGGCGGCGTGGACACCGCTGGTCCGCGGCCATACCCTGCATCTCTTTTCTCGGTCGAGCCTCGCGCTGCCGAGTGGCTCCGCCCCACCCAGTTTTGTTCCCAGGCATCTGGCCGGCGATGTCTTTCTGGAAGTGCGGTGGTTATGGCGCCTTCAACCCGCAGGGGCAGGCCAAGTGCGCGTTCTGCGAGCAGGGGCGGCCCTGGCGCTACTGGACGCAGGGTCGCCGCCGCGGCGGGAGCGGCAGCGGCGGCGGCTCGGGCGGGGGCAGCGGCGGCGAGGGCGGGCGGAAACCTTTGGCGCCGTGGGTTCGGCGCGCAGACGGCCAGCGCCCCACCGCCAGCGCGTGGCATCCGCCGCGCGTCGACGACAAGCCGCTCCAGCGCGCTGCCGAGCTGCCTGCCGAGAAGTGGGAGACTGCCAAGGCGCTCTTCTCGCAGGCACAGATCGACAAGGTCGAAGCCACGAGGGCGGCCCGCGCCAGCGGTCTTTGTGTCCCCCGCGAGGCCACCCCTGAGTTCGAGCGCACCGGCAAGAAACTCAAGGCCGAGGGGGCCAAGGAGCAGCGCGTGGCGGCCGACGTTTCGGATCGCCTGCTCCAGCTGGACGCCCAGCAGGCCCTCGTCCGAGCCCTCCGCGAGTCGCACGAGGAGGCCCGTGCTGCGGCAGCCTCGGCATTCTCAGGCGCGGCCCAGCCCCCTGCCGCGGAGCTGCTCGAAAAGGCCGCCGCCATCAGCGCGTCGGGCAAAGGCCCCGCGGCCCTCGTCAAGGAGCTCCTTGAGCAGGCCGCGGCCTTCGCCAAGGCCTCGGCCGCGCCGCCAGCCGCCCCCTCCGCCGACGTGCCCATGGGCGACGCGGGCTCGGCCGGCGGAGCGGCCGCTACCCAGCCGCAGCAGCGCGCAGGCCCACCGGCAGCGGTGCAGGCTGGGCACAGGCCCGAGATGGACGCCAACCGCCTCAGGGCGGTCCTGTCTGCAGAAGACCCTGCTGGCCTTCTTGCTCGCACTGCTGACGGTGACGGGCGCAAGCGGCTCGGCGACGCGATGGCCCTCCTGCGGGAGCATGTCGGCAAGAAGTTTCGAGGTGGACCTGCACCCGCAGGCTCCACCGACGGCCCAGCAGCGGCAGCCACGCCCCCCGCGGCCGCTGCACCCGCCGCCGCCCCGAGCTAAGGGGCAGCCCGCCAACGGCAGCAACTGGCGCGGCCTCTCGTTGAATGCGAGCGCCTACGCCACGTTGGACCAGCTGCTGGGCAAGGATGACCTCAGGCAGTGCGACTTCGTCGCCGCCCACGAGATTCACCTCTCCACCGACCGCGCTGCCGAGGTGGCAGCTCGGCTGGGCCGCCAGGGCTGGCAGACCTCAGCCGCCCTTGCCACCGACGCTGACGGTGGCCGCCCAGGCCATGGAGGCCCGATCAGCCTCGCCCCCAGGCGCCGCGGCCTCGGGCGTGTCGAAGTCGATGGGCTGCGCAGCGGCGTGCTCGTCCCAGGCCGAGCATCCATCGCGCGCCACAGCGGCGTCATCAGGGGGGGCTTCGTGTGGATCAACGTCTACCTCCACACCGCCGAAAGCCCCTCGGCCTCCAACCTCCTCGTTCTCGATGCTGTGAGGTCGGCCGTGCGGTGCCTTGGCCTTCCCTTCATCATCGGCGGCGACTTCAACATGGCGCCGCAGCAGCTTTCCGAGGCCGCGTGGCTCGGGCGCATCAACGGCGTGGCCATCAGCCCGACAGTCGGCACCGTCAGGCCCCCGGAGCGCGTGATCGACCACTTCGTGGTCTCGTCGTGCCTCGCCTCGGCCACCGCCGCCGCGCTCCTCGGCTGGGAATTCGGGTCGCATCGGCCCGTTCTTATTGAGACTGCCGCCCAGAAGGTCTAGCCCTGGATCCAGGTCATGCGAGCGACCAAGCCCTTCCCACGGCCGCTTCCACTGGGCTGCTGCTCCCAGGGCGACGAGCCTGCCTGGGCCGACGTCCGCTCCAAGATCGCCAGCGCTGACTCTGTCGACGAGGCTTGGAATAACGTCATCAGGCTGACTGAGGCGGTCTTGATCGATCGACGCGGCCTTGGCAAGCAGGGCAGCAAGTGCCGTGGCAGGCAGGGTCCGCCCACGTTGCAGTGGGTGCTCGCCAGCAAGCCCAACCTCCCAGGCACCCCAAGCTTGACGCAAGCACGCAGTGGATCTCCTAGTGCGTGTTCGAGGCGCGCAGGGCCGCCTCGCTGAGCACCGCGCACTTGTGCCTAGACGGGCTGCGCAGCCTGCGCGGGCCCAGCTCCAGGCTGCCGCCCAACGCCGACGGGGACATGGCCGACCAGCTGCGGATCAACATGTGCAAGGTGCTGGCTCTCATCGGCAGCGTCCTCGACGCCCTCGACGTGCCGCCGGCAGGGTGCCTCGCGGAGTTCGCCAGCGTAATCTCCAAGAAGCACATCGAGCACGCCGTGGGGCTGGCGAAGCGGCGCATTGGAAGCTGGATCGGCCAGCAGCACGCGCTGGGCGGCAAGGGCTTGCATGCCTTCACGCGCGAGCCCATGCCCTGGCACCCTCGCCCGCCGCCCGCTGACGCGCCCGACGGCGAGGACGGGCCGCCGCTGCCAGTCCTTGCCGACCAGCAGACCTGCCTCGAGCTGCTCGTCAAGGAGTGGACGCACTACTGGAGCGTCGGCGCCCACGTGGCGCCGCTGCAGTGGCCCGCCGACCTTGGCGAGCGGCCGCCGCGGCCAACCGTCGATCACATGCGCGAGGTCTTTCGCAGCTTCGCCGCCACCGCGGGCACGAGCGTCCACGCGTTCTGCCCCCGGGACTTCGATGCCCTCGACCGCAGCCGCGTCGAGGCCATCGCCGACGTGCTCATGGGGTCGAGCAGGGGCGCTGCTGGCCCCCCTTCATCAGCAAGCTCGTGTTCATCAGCAAGAGGGAGGGTGGCGCAAGGCCCATCGCCCTCCTCGCCGCCCCAGTCCGCGCCCACGGGCGACTGCGGCCGCTTAGGAGGGGGCTCCCCCCAGGGCTTCCTGGCGGGTCTGCGCGGAGCGCGGCGGGGGGCCCGACCTCAACTGGAGCTCAGCGGCGGCCATCCTCGACTTGTGGAAGGCCTTCGAGCAGCTGAGGTACCAGTGCCTCACCGACGCCGCCGTGCAGCACGACTTCCCAGTCTGGGCGGCGAAGCTCCAAGTCTCATCGAAGTTCAGCAGACGGTCCTCGCAGGGAACATGTGGGTCGCTTCCTTCATGAAGCTTATCCCCCTCGGCCCGCTCGACCGCGCCTTGCGGGCCTCGCCGAGCATCGCCCCGTCAGTCGCGGTCGACGACCTGGTCTTCCAGCGAGTGGGAGGCAGCGGGCGCGCGACTGACGACCTCGTCGCCAGTGTCACCAGCGTCGTCAGCGGACTGCGCACGGCGGACATGCACGTTGTCACTAAGAAGTCTCTCCTGCTGGCCGGCACGCCCGCAGCGGCCGCGGCGCTCGAGAACCGCCTGGCCCGGGCCGCCAAGGCGCGGCCAGTGGGCGCCGCCCGCAACCTTGGTGTGTATTACGCCCTGGCTACACGGGCGGGCGCCCAGGCTCGGCCGTCGGCACCGCCTCAAGCAGTCCGCGAAGCGGGCCCCGCGCCTTAGGCGGCCCTCGGGCTCGGGGCTCCGCCGCCATGTCGCGGCGAGGATTTTCCAGCAGGGGGTCGAGGCCAGTTTTGCCTACAGCGTCTGCTGCGCGGGGTTCAGCGACGCCGACCTCGACGCCGCGCGCGCGATGGCGTTCAGATCAGTCGAGATCAGGCCCTCAGGCAAACGTCGCACCGCCGCCCTCGCCACCATCCGCAGAGACTACGACCCCGCGTCCGAGGCGACGCGCGACCCAGCGCGCACGCTGCACAGGGCTGTCTGGGAGCGGTGGCTCCCCAGACACAAGGCCTTCGCGGCGGCCCTGGCAGCGTCGGGCAGCTGGGCCGACTGCCGCCGCCCCGTGGAGGCCGCTCTCTTGTCAGTGCGCCGCGTGGGCTGGGGGGCGGCCTCGGTCGATGCATGGGCCACGCATGGCGGCTTTCACCGCGGCGTCGGCGACGCCAGCCCGTGGCTCACCAAGAAGCTGCTCGGCCGCAGCTGCGAGCACTGGCAGGCCAAGCAGCTCAGCAAGCACGACGCCTCCGGGCTCGACGTCGGCATCAATTTCGGCCCGCTTCGGCGTTTGACGGACAGCGGCCGCGGTACCTCCCACGAAGCGCGGAGCTGGTCCAGCCTCAGCAACGAGCAGCGCGGCTACCTCAGGTCCTGCATCGTCGACGGCCAGTGGACCAACGCCAGGAAGTACGGCAACGGCCCGAGGCGCGCCCCCTTCGGACACCTGCGAGCTCTGCCCCAACCACGTCGGCGACCTTTGGCACAGGCACCCCTGCTGCAGCGCCATCCAGGACCACGGCCTCAGCCCCCCGAGCGAGATCGCCCTGCTGCTGCAGCAGAAGGACAACGCGGTTGTCAAGTGCCTTGTCGAGCGCGTCTTATTTCCAGCCTTGCAGCTCCAGCGGGGGCCTTCCAGCGGAGGCTTCCTCGACCACCTCCGCTGGTGTCGCGGTGAGCCACGTGAGCCTTTCGTCGGCCAGCCACTGCGCTGCGACGGCCCATTGTGCGATGCGCTGCTGACCGAGGGCCGTGGTGCGCAGGCCGCGGCAGCTGTCGTCGAGCTACCCCCAGGCCCCCGAGGAAGTCGATCCAGGCGTCGGCAACCGCACCAAGGCGTTGGGCGCGCCGCTGGTTGGGCCCTGGCAGAGCACCGAAGGCGCGGAGCTGCTGGCGGTGCTCATCGTCCTACGGCATTCCATCCCGCCCATCGAACTACACTGCGACGCCAGCTACGTTGCCGACGGCATCAACCTACGGGGCGAGGCGCGCGCGACGCTGGCGTCCTCAGCGTGGGGGCATCTCTGGCGGCAGGTAGGGCAGGCGCTTCACGACTTCGGTGGCGTAGGCCCAGAGGGGCTCACGATCGTCAAGATCAAGGGCCACGCCACCGCCGCCCATGTCACTCGCAGCATCATCACGCGGAAGCAGCGCCGTGGCAACTACGAGGCCGACCATGTCGCAGGAGGGATCGCCCACCACTTGCGCGCCCCCTCGGCCGAGAGACAGAGGCAGCTGCGTGCCCAGCTCTTCGTCGACGGCGTCGCGCACTGGGCGGCCACGGCTGGCGCTCCTCCCCAATCTTCGCGTTTTCTCGTGAGTGTTGGAAATGCCGAGTTGCATGATCACAAGCGGCGGCGAGGTGTCTCAGGCGAAACGCCCAGCACACCCGCAGGAGAAACCGCGGCGACCAGGAGGAAGAAGGAGAAGGAGGAAGGGACGGAGCAGGGATGGAGAGAAGGGATACGTATGGGGGAAGAGGGGATAGGGAAGGGAACAGGGAAGAGGGAGGATGAGGAGGAGGTGGAAGAAGACGAAGAAGAAGGGACGGGGGAGGGCACGAACGGGGGGGAGGATATGGAGGGGGGGCGGAGGGGGGAAGGAGGGGAAGGAGATGGAGGAGAGGAGGCGGAGGAGGAGGAGATGGAGGAGGAGGAGGGGGAGGAGGAAAAACATCAGCGCCAATACCAGGAGGGGGAGTGCGTGTCATTGAGCCTGAAGAGGAGTGGGAGGAGGCTGCAACGCTGAGTGGGGGCCACCAAGCTGGAGCTAATACTGACACGTTTTTTTCGTGGAGTTGAAGGAGGCTCCTCGAATCGAAGCACACGAGGAGTATGTGAACAATCGGATGAAGCGAGGTAGACAGCATCAACTCATGAGAGTGCATTGCTTGCGCATTAATTGACGTTTCTAGGTGAAGGCGTGGATGACCTCTGAGCATAGTGTGGCAGGACAGTGACTCGAGGTTACGGGGGAAATTCTGTGAAATCACATGCGTTTGTCTGTGCCCAAGCAATGGATTCAGAGTGGTTCTGGCGTGCCACAAAGGGTTTGGGGCACGGGGCGGGGCAGGGTGCATCCAGATGAAGTCCGCGCTGAGCCCTGGCCGTAGGCAAGTGGTTTCGACGCGACCGTATTTGACGGAGCTTCCGCTGCAAACGGATTATGTATTAGGGAGGATGGAGGGTTGGACGGATGGATTTTTGAGGAGGTGGCGAAGGAATGGATGCCAGATGCCCGGGGAGGTCTCCAGGTGTCCTGACTTGTGTTATATTCGGAGGTCTTCTGAGGCTTGTATAGGACGCAACCTTTCAAGCATCTCGATCCTCGAAGCTGATCCAAAAGCATCAAACCTCTTGATTGGAGCAGGGATGCTGCATGTGAATCGCGGGCCCAGTTACGAAGCTCCCGATTTGCGGATTTGGGGGGACGCCGTTTTCAGGCGGCGTGTTCGCAGGGCCCCCATTCTGCCCCCTGAAATCTCTCGCGGCTCGACTGTCAGAATGTCTCAAGCTCCTCGAGTGCTTGTGGGTGCGTAAGAGGGCCAATAATGCTTGAAACTGTTGTGCTGTTGTGAGCTTCTGGCTAGAGGCCTCCAGATGCGGTCGGGGACATCCGAATGTCTTCAGAGATCCAGGGGGCGGATTGGGAGGCCGAGGGAGGAGAGGAACAGGGGCAGCGAGGAGGAGAGGAGGACGGAGAGGGTCAGGAGGTGCCAGCTGCGCTGCACGTGCACTCCCACAGCGCGCGGGAAGCTGCCGCCGGCCTGCCGGAAGGCTTTGTGGGCAGTGGTGATGCACAAGCTTGTTCCTCTAATGCAGAAGCAGGCGTGTACACGCTAATGCGTGTGCAAGTGCTACGCGCGCGCACCTGGCATTCGTTTAGGCACTTCTGCTGGTGCCTGTTTTTTGCGCACTCTTCATGCCGCCTCTCCGCGCCCCCCATGCCGTCCAGCAGAGGAACCGCCAGAATTCTGAGGCTCCCGCTTCTCTCACTGTGCTAGCTCGCCCATAACACTACTGGTCCCAGTCTCTGGTACCTGTGATCATGGCAATCGTGTCGTGATTTCGCATTGGTGGATGCAAGGACTACGTTTGCACGTTTTTTCCGCGCCTGTTTTTCTGGTTTGTGTGTGTGTGTGTGTGTGCGCCCATTCATGCAGGGCGGGACGGTTGAGGAGAAACAGCAGGAGGAGGAGGAGGAGGAGGAGGAGGAGGAGGAGGAGGAGGAGGAGGAGGAGGGGGAGAAGGACCTGGGGACGCCAACAATATATGTGCACCAATCCTGGCCAGGCCAATCCTTGCCCAGGATATCGGCCTGGCCAGGACTGGTATAGGAGTACAGTTGGCGTTCTTCTAGAGGATGCGGGGAAAGCTAGACAATGCTGGTGCCACGAGGTGCTTGTGCACACCGATAGTGCGTCTTGCTCGATCGCTCCTCCCCTGGCTCGCGGCAAAAGCCGCTGGCGTGAGCGGGCGCCCTTTTGCCCGAGCACGGTAGGCAGCCATGCGGATCAGACGAGCGTGCGAGCCGGATGAAAAGTGCCAAAGGCGGGGAGGATATTATCGAGGTTTGAGGTTTTTAGACGTTCTCTCTCGATCTCCTCTCTCTCTCTATCTCCTTGTCTGCCTCCATAATCCCCTTGGGATCTCTGGGGATCGCTGGAGACTTCCCGTGATTTTTGACCTCGGGGGACTTGGGGGCAGGGGATATTTGAATTTGTCGAAGGGCGGTGGAAATTCAAAGGGGAGGGATGCAGTCAAGCGCAGTCGCAAGGATAGGGTGGATCATCGTGATTGCCCCCTGCACCTTTTGCTTGCTGTTTGGCCCGATCTCGGCCGACTTGTGTTTCTTCGGCCCCCGAAGGTACCTGCGGTGCAAGGGCCTTGCGTGGTTACCTGGCGTGCTCAATTATTCTTGTGGCTGACTGTGTGGTTTATGCTATGCTGTCCCAGGGGTCCCAGAGACTGGAGCAAGCGGTCCCGCTTTGTCTTTTGCTCCGCCCTCGTCCGCCCCCTTAGGCGGCCCCTCCGCTCCTGGCTCAATGTTTCTGGCTCATGTGTGTAGGGATGAAGGCATAGTGCGCACAGCTGGTACTGCAAAGCGTTAGCAGCCTTCTCTGTGCTGGAGCATCGCTGAACTCAGCGGCGGAATACCCAGGAAGTATGACATATGTCGACATGGCCAGCCCGCCAAGAACACTGACATGTTGCCATGGTTCAGTCCCATAACGCAATTCTCTCGATCATGAGGGGTTGGTTCAGAGGATCGACGGTCTCTATTCCAACCTCCAGCAGCGAATCACTTATGTGGATTCGCAGATGCAGGCGATAGGAGCGTCTTTCTTCAATCCATTCAGCGCGACGGTTCTAACTCCAGAACCTCGGAATGGGCAGGTTTGGACATGTAACATTGCCAATCTAATTCGTACGGCTTCAAACTAGTTTGGGCGAGCTGGTCGCACATTACCAGGGGGAGCTCTGCTTAGCGAGGGACAGAGCACCAGCCGCAGCTCGGGGCTGACAGCTCAGGCAGCTCCTCGATGCTGTAGCCCTCCGCGGTCTTGAGGCTTATGACCGACAGCAAGATGCTGCGCGGGACCTTCCACCATTGGGGTGTCGAGAGGTTGCTTCCCAGGTGCTTGCTGGAAAGCCTCGCAAAAGTAGACCTTGTTGCCCAGCGTCGGGAGACCGATGTAGTTGTTGCCGCAGTCGACCACGGCCTTTCAGGTCGTCTGTCAGGAGTTCCATGCCCAGGAGAATTGGGACCCGATTTGGTATGACGAACAGCATGATGTCGCGAAGGTTTGTTGACGGAGACCTTGCTGGAGATCTTCCCCATCGAGCTCTTCTGGAGGCCGTCTCCGAACATTCAGGACCACCTCGTGCTTGTGCAGCATCTTGGGCATCAGGCTTTCCACGACCTCGACGCTTCCGATGCTCCTCGTGGCTTCGACGTCGCGCGTTGCCCATCTCTCATCGCGCTCGAGGAAGTAGACGTATTCGTTCGTGTTGGTCAGGATGAAGCCATTGTGGTTGGTGCCAGCAGCTCCACCTGGTTGTGTTTGATTCCGGTTTGGGCAATCCTTGGCACGTTCGAATTTCGGCACGCGATGCGCCTGACTCGCGGCGCGATTTTTTCCTTGCCCTTCCCCTTCCCTTTCATTCGCGATGACCGTCAGGGGGCGATGGGGAGGCAGCGTGGTATCACCATGCAGGGACAAGTTGGCAAGTAGTAGTCGCGAGCCATTCGAAAGGTCTTTTGCATCCTTGAAGCTTTGGCCTGCTTGTGTGTATTCTACGAACACCTCATTGTCCGCTTCTGTCTCGTCGGCAGCAGTCTCACTAATTCATCATATTCCTCATCGTTCTCCATATCGACTAGCTGCTCAACGAGCTCGGTCTGCTCCTCAACCGCTTATCCGCCAGCCCCGTATTCGTTGTCAGCTTTCTCGTCGAAGAATGCGGTTTCTCCTGTCCAGCCCAGCGAGAAAATCTGTTTGTAACCTGGCCATCAGCGTCTTGTGGGTCTTCCTCCTCGTCGGATCGGGGATCTTGGATTTCCTCATGAACCGCCATGTCTAGAGAGGCTTCGGGATGACTTCAATGACGATTTTGTCGGTTGTTTAGAGCTGGTCCAAGAGTTCGTGCCTTTTCTTCTCGAAGCGGTCGGCCCAGTCCCAGAACGTCTTGCTGGATTTCTTGTCAAGTCTCAAGAATAATTCCTTGACCAGTAGCCCGGTGCCGTTGAGGCTCATGTTGTCAACTTCGCCAACGCGCAGTCGAGCGCACGATCCAACCCAGCTGGGTTGCCGTCCTCGTCGGTCTCGTCGACGCCGAGGATGTCTGGACAGTTCTCCACTGCCCTGCGCGCACTTGGTCCCAGTGCTCGCACTAGCTGGGTCCACACGCAACCCTAACCGCTTTTCGTGAGCGCGGCATATCTCGAGCTTGTGGGCCAACAGTCTGCCCGCCCCGCTCTTCCAGGTACGCACGTCGGACCTCGTCTACGTGCCTCCTGCTCCGGTTGCAGCGGATGCAGTCGCCATCTTCGTAGAAGAGGCAGGTCAGCAGTTCTGCGTGCCCTAGGATGCGATCGAGAGAATCCTGGCTGCAAGCCCTGGGCGGACGAGAGAGGCAGGTCGGGTCCATCACATCTCCGCTGCCAATCTGACTGCGAGAGCTCCCCGCAGCCGATCGCGCTGGCGATGGGATAGGCTCGAGAAAATCCGAACAGATACGTCCGTTAATTATCAGGGCGCCATTGGTGGGGGCACTTATTGTCCACGCTGCGACGGCCGCGCGAACCCCCGATCTGCGCGGGCTGTCCGGCACTGGTGAGGGTTTAGAAGAGGACAGCCCACCCCGCCTACGCCTGGACATCAGGATAACAGCCATCAGAGCGCGGCCAAGTTGAAGTTGCCCGATCGCGCCTCGATACTACTGCGAGTCGAACGACTCCCACGGGCCCCCTGAATCGTCCCGCAGCCGTGGGCGCCTCGATGCTGCGCTCCGCGCGGTGGCCGAATATGCGCGCGCGCGCGGGCGGGCGCGCGCGGGCGGGCGACGACGGACGAGGGGGCCCAACATTAAAACACCACACCATATTTCGGGTGCTTAACCTCCTGGACCCTGGCGATGGCCCCCCGAGGCCCAGGCGCCAAGACGCTCGAGGTCGGTGGCCCACATGGGCCGCGAAGCCTCGGACTGAGCCGACGAGCACAATGTGGGCCGCACTCAAAACGAAAAATGAATGTGCGGTTTCGCCCCACTCTATGCCCTAGGGCAGTGAAAACCTCAAAACTCGCTCTCCCCCCCCGCAGGACCAGGCCCCGAGACAAAGGAATCCGCGGGCGCCCCGGGCCCCCAGGACGGCCCCTCACCCGCGCTCGAACCCGGGAACCCGCCAGCAGCCGCCACGGCCAGCTGCGCCGCCTCGGACCTGTCCTGGGGCGGCGCGCCCGCGTGCAAACCGCCGCGGCTGAACGCGCTCGCTCGCGCTGCAGGCAGGGGCGGGGGGTAGGCATTTCCTGCCGTTACCTGCCGTAAGATGCCGCAGGGTGGACACCGTCTTCTCTTTATCTAAAC